CAGTGCTGCGGCCTTACCTGGTAACATAAAAAAATAGTTTTGGCTACGGTGCAAAATAATTTCAAAGTACACACATACATAGAGGAACGAAAGATGGGCGGAGAAGGCAGCAGTCCAGCATTGAGCCAAAATTATTTTCCCAAACTCTGCGGCCCTTTATATATCAAGGTGTTATTAGCCAAGTAATGAGAGCTCATACGTGGGTGGAAACTGGAGCACCCGGAGAAAAACCCACGCATGCGATGGAGTAGCACCACCCTATACAGACGGAACAGATGGAGATTAGTCCACACACTCTGCTGCTGTGCGACCTTCTACTTGGCAAAGCCAGCGGGTGCGGCTCCTCCTCAACCTCCACCCACGGATGAGAGCCTGGGCAGGTGAGAGGCTGGGCAGGTTAAGAGCCTGGAGCAGCTGAGACCCAGGACAGGTGAGAGTCCCCCGTATGGCCTTAACAGGCAATTTGATGTTAGCGATTAGCGGTCTATGAAGGCTGGCACTATGGCACACGAGGGGGTGGGTGGCCAGCACCACGCCCGGCCGCCTTTGTCTCCCCAGTGGCAATGTTTACTACACACCGAACCAGGTTACTCATTTGAGGCCGAGTCGACCGAGGGGAGGAGGCCCATGACCTGTTCAGAAAATCGCGATCACTGGTGTTGGCCGTGAGCAGGAATCGAACTGGAGTCGCTGCGTTCGTAACGTAGCGTAGCGCTGACCACTGCACCACCGCTCCCACACCCAGCCACACACTGACACATAGACGAATACAGATTGAGACAGGGACACTAAGACCAATGAAGAAAGAGACAGACAGATGGATGCAGAGGTGGGTGGACACAAACCCCAGAGACACAGATAAACACATACTGAGACACACAGACACACACAGTTGGACACAGATTTACACCCTCCCCAGAGACACAGATAAACAAAGACTAAGACACACACATAGACACAGATTAAGAGACATACACAGATATACAGATTAAGGTACACAGATGGACACACACCTCAGAGACAGATAGACACAGACTAAGACACACACACGGATGGACACAGGTTGACACCCAGAAACACAGAAGGATACAGACAGACAGACACACATGGTCACAGATTGACACACACACGGATACAAACAGACAGAAAGATGGCCACAGATTGACACACACACAGACACAGACGGATACAGATAGACAGAGATGGCCACAGATTGGCACACACACAGACACATACGGATACAGACATACAGACACACAGATAAAAACACAGATTGACAAACACAGACGGATACATACAGACACACAGATGGTCGCAGGTTCTCACACACACACAGACAGATACAGACAGACACACACACACACAGATGGCCACAAAATGACACACAGACACAGACGGATACTGACAGACGAACACAGATGGTCACAGATTGACACACAGACACAGACGGATACAGACATACAGACACACAGATAAAACATAGATTGACAAACACAGACGGATACAGACAGACATACAGATGGCCACAGGTTCTCACACACAGACAGATACAGACAGACAGGCACACACAGATGGCCACAAATTGACACACAGACACAGACGGATACTGACAGACACACACAGATGGCCACAGATTGACACAGACACAGACGGATACAGACATACAGACACACAGATAAAACATAGATTGACAAAGAGACGGATACAGATAGACAGACATACAGATGGCCACAGGTTCTCACACACACACACAGACAGATACAGACAGACAGACACACACAGATGGCCACAAATTGACACACAGACACAGACGGATACTGACAGACACACACAGATGGTCACAGATTGACACACACAGACACAGACGGATACAGACATACAAACACACAGATAAAAACATAGATTGACAAACACAGACGGATACATACAGACACACAGATGGTCACAGGTTCTCACACACAGACAGATACAGACAGACAGGCACACACAGATGGCCACAAATTGACACACAGACACAGACGGATACTGACAGACACACACAGATGGCCACAGATTGACACAGACACAGACGGATACAGACATACAGACACACAGATAAAACATAGATTGACAAACAGACGGATACAGATAGACAGACATACAGATGGCCACAGGTTCTCACACACACACACAGACAGATACAGACAGACAGACACACACAGATGGCCACAAATTGACACACAGACACAGACGGATACTGACAGACACACACAGATGGTCACAGATTGACACACAGACACAGACGGATACAGACATACAGACACACAGATAAAACATAGATTGACAAACACAGACGGATACAGACAGACAGACATACAGATGGCCACAGGTTCTCACACACAGACAGATACAGACAGACAGGCACACACAGATGGCCACAAATTGACACACAGACACAGACGGATACTGACAGACACACACAGATGGCCACAGATTGACACAGACACAGACGGATACAGACATACAGACACACAGATAAAACATAGATTGACAAAGAGACGGATACAGATAGACAGACATACAGATGGCCACAGGTTCTCACACACACACACAGACAGATACAGACAGACAGACACACACAGATGGCCACAAATTGACACACAGACACAGACGGATACTGACAGACACACACAGATGGTCACAGATTGACACACACAGACACAGACGGATACAGACATACAGACACACAGATAAAAACATAGATTGACAAACACAGACGGATACATACAGACACACAGATGGTCACAGGTTCTCACACACACAGACAGATACAGACAGACAGACACACACAGATGGCCACAAATTGACACAGACACAGACGGATACTGACAGACACACACAGATAGTCACAGATTGACACACACACAGACACAGACGGATACAGACATACACACAGATAAAAACATAGATTGCCAAACACAGACGGATACATACAGACACACAGATGGTCACAGGTTCTCACACACACACAGACAGATACAGACAGACAGACACACACAGATGGCCACAAATTAACACACAGACGGATACTGACAGACACATACAGATGGCCACAGATTGATACACAAACAAAGATGGCAATAATCTTAGCTCTTTCGGTAAAGTCACGTTGAAGGGAAACAATAAAATAATAAAATATATAAAACAATAAAAATTCTCACGACGTTTCGACCATAACATAAACGGTCGTCATCATAGAGCTCAATGCATATCCGACCAGGAACACATAGGCAGTGAACTCAAGCACGTACACCAAGCTTTTAAGGCTAATGGTTACTCCGACTATACAATCCGCAAAGCTATCACTCAAACCATGAAGAAGGACCCTCTTGAGGAGCCTTTCAAAACCATCACTTTACCCTACATTGCGGGGATCACAAAAAAGATCTCCAAAATCTTGAATAAACACAAGATCCAGGTCCGTTTCAACACATTACATAAAATCCGTGATCTGGTTCCGTCTGTAAAAGATGTGATTCCGGACACACAGTACCCTGGTGTCTACAAACTAAGTTGCCTCTGTGGTAGTAGTTACATTGGAGAAACCAAACGCCATGTCTCGGACTGCATTCGTGAACACAAAGCAGACCTTAAACACGGTAGGACCAACACCTCGGCCGTGGCAGATCATTGTAATAATTCAGTAGGCTCACATGACATTGACTTCTCCAAGACAGAGGTTCTTTGTAATCCATCTGGCTACCATGAGAGATTCGTTCATGAGGCTATCCACATATAAAAGCACAGAGACAATTTCAACCGAGAAGATGGATTCTGGCTTAGCAATCATTGGAAGGATTTGATAAACAATTTCAGGTCTTAATTGATTGTTCACGCTTACGGTGGCTTTCAGACAGCATACATTAATTTTTCGTCCCCCCCTCCTCTTTTCAGAACATAGATGGACTCGTCCTTCTAAACAAACTACCAAATCGCTGCTCGTGACGCAAACGGTTTTTTTATAAATACACCGTTTAAAAATAAATTAATGCAAACCGCCACTTCTTTCAAATGTTTCTTGCCGTTGCTTTTCACACCTGATGATGACCGTTTGTGTTATGGTCGAAACGTCGTGAGAATTTCTATAGTTTTATATATATTTTATTGTTTCCCTTCAACGTGACTTTACCGAAAGAGCTAAGAATATGCTTCAAATCACTTCAAACTATTGTCGCGCGTATTTAATGTGGCGCTGCACTTTTATGTTGTAGGAAAAAACATGTATTGAAAAGGAGGCGTAAAGCTGAAATTGAGCATAAAATTAACTTGAAAATATTCAACGTCTAACTAAAACTGCAGATGTTCAGAATATTATATTGAAATTCTCTTATAATTATAAAAGTATTAAAAGTAATTATGAATATAAAAAAAAATACTTGACACTTTGTAGTAGAACGAAGCAAATTGAAAAGCCCGGGTAAAATCATTAGAATCAAAATATGTAATAACAATCATTAAATTTTTTTACAAAATTTATGCTTCTCCATTCTACCATAGAGAAGCAAAATGCTCCTTCATGGAATAAATAAAAGGTGACCTGAGTAAATTGAAATAATAAAATAGTTAATGAACATTTATCAAAATTAGTGTTGTTATAACAACTCTTTAATTCATATTTATTTCAAGTTGCGCATTTTTATGTGACGTCACATTTCTCACCCCCCCCCCTCCCCCTCTCGTCACACATCGTTACAAATGTCTGACACCCCCTCCCCCCCCTAGGTGCGTGACGTCATTTATGGACGGCCCCTTGCCATCCTTTTCCACCACTATAAACCGTCACTTTTCGTGGCCCCCGCCCTACTGATCCTGACGTCACGTCTGTTCGTTCTACACCGGTCGCAACGTCACGTCTCGTCGAACCCACCCCCACCCCCCTCAATGCTCGTGACCTCATGTCTCTTCATCCCACCGCCCACCGATCTTGACGTCACGTGCCTTCGCCCTCCATTAAACGATGGGGACGTCACGTCCCTATGTCCTCCACCGGTAGTGACGTCACGCAGGGTTGCTTGCTCCCGTTTTGCTCGCCCGACGTCACTCGCACGCGACGGAAGGAAGCGAACGGAGAGGGAGCGGAGGTCGAAGAGCGACCCGGAGGTCGTGGGTGAGAGACTCTGGGAGAGAGGCCGTGGGTGAGAGACTGTGGGTGAGAGTCTCTGGGAGAGAGACCGTGGGAGAGAGGTCGTGGGAGAGAGACCGTGGGAGAGAGGCCCTGGGAGAGAGACTGTGGGTGAGAGTTCGTGGGAGAGAGGCCCTGGGAGAGAGACTGTGGGTGAGAGATCGTGGGAGAGAGACTGTGGGAGAGAGACCGTGGGAGAGAGATCGTGGGAGAGGGATCGTGGGAGAGAGACGGTGAATGAGAGGGCGAGTGAGAAAGGGGGAGGTGGGGCAGATCGTGAGTGATTGTAGGAGACCGCGAGAGAGAGGGAGAGAGACCCTGGGAGTTCGTGAGTGGAGAGACCGTGAGAGACTTTGAGGGAGAGATGCTGTGAGAGAGAGACCGTGGGAGAGAGGGAGATTTTGAGAGGGAGATCGTGAGAGGGAGATCGTGAGAGGGAGATGGTGAGATTATGAGAGGGAGATTGTGAGTGGGAGATTGTGAGTGGGAGATTGTGAGAGGGAGATCATGAGAAGGTGATTGTGCGAGGGAGATTGTGAGAGGGAGATTTTGAGAGGGAGATTATGCGAGGTAGATTGTGAGAGGGAGATTGTGAGAGGGAGATTGTGAGAGGGAGATTGTGAGAGGGAGATTGTGAGAGAGAGATTGTGAGAGAGAGAGATCGTGAGTGGAAGATCGTGATAGAGAGACCATGGGAGACATCGCGAGGGCGAAATCTCAAGTAGAGAGACCAGGAGAGTTTTCTGCGCCGGGTTGAAACTTGCAGGCCGGCCCTGCCGACCATCGTGGCTAACCTACGTGCTGAATCGCAGTGTGAGAAGCTCACAAATACTTGAAAGATTTGGACACGGTCCCTATCTTTTGTGAGCTCCTCTAAGGCTACGTTGGCTGGGTCATGTAGCCCGCATGCCCCAGCCACCGCATGCCCAAACAGCTTCTGTTTGGCCCGATAGAGGGGGGCTGAACGGGCGCGCTACGGGCTGGAGATGAGATGGCGCTGATGCGGTACGGGAGGATGTGGAGCTGAGTGGACTTGCCGACGACTGGCACCAGCGGTGTCGAGATCGGCCTCTGTGGAGGAGGCTCGTGAAGGATGCTGCTACTGGGCAGTTGGAAGCAGTCCCCCTCCAGCAACAACGTAGGGCAGAGGAGCGATGCTCACAACAACTAGGAGAGCGCCGGGCTACTAAAAGCACCAAGTTTGCACAGTAGGGGGTGAATGTGGTGCATCTGCTCGTCATCTCAGAATCAGAATGTTTATTTCGACTGCAGGAGGAGGAATCGGATGAGCTATAAATCTCTTTTTCCACAGATGTCCAGTATGGCCATGTGGAATCAGCGATTTACAACGACAAACACACGATACACACACACGATACACACAAACACACGATACACACAAACACACGATACACACAAACACACGACACACAAATACACGATACACACAAACACGATACACACAAACACACGATACACACAAACACATGATACACACAAACACACGATACACACAGACACACACAAACACACGATACACACAAACACACGATACACACAAACATGATACACACACACACGATACACACAAACATGATACACACACGATACACACAGACACATGATACACACAAACACACGATACACATAAACACACGATACACACAAACACGATACACACAAACAAACGATACACACATACACACGATACACACAAACACACGATACACACATACACACGATACACACAAACACACGATACACACAAAAACACGATACACACAAACACGATACACACAAACACGATACACACAAAAACACGATACACACAAACACGATACACACAAACACTCGATACACACAAACACACGATACACACAAAAACACGATACACACAAACACACGATACACACAAACACACGATACACACAAAAACAAGATACACACAAACACGATACACACAAACACACGATACACACAAACACGATACACACAAACACACGATACACACAAACACACGATACACACAAACACACGATAGGAGTGAAAAATAGAACATAAGGTAAGCAAGTCCAGAAATGGAAATTAATTGTTTAAGTTCGATTTATCAAGATTTGGCAAGGCAGAAAAAATAACAACAGAACAGTAGCCAACTGCGCTCAACGGAGGTGTGGGGGAAGGACAAAAAAATAAACACGACAACAAGCAGCAGTTCTAAGTAAATGAGTTTGTCAATCTTGATGATGATTTAAAAGTGCATCGTAGCTCCCAGTGGCTTCCTCATACCAGAGAGGAAGAGCGTTCCAGACGTCCACCACAAGCAGCAGCATCTGAAAGCGCCATAAGACGCAGCGGTGACCACCGCCTTTGTTCTACAGTTAGCAACCGGTGTCCGTGGTTTCTAGTTTCACGACTTGTTTGCGATACTTCACAGGGACAGGGCGGGGGAGATTCATTTTCCTTCGTGTGCCTCACCCTTTGCCCCAGTGCCAGGACGGGAACGATGAACGAGGGAGGAGAGATGAAGATCTACTGCCCGATATGCAACTGGGTGGTGATCAGCCTGCCCGCCTTGGAGGACCACATGACGAAGCACAAGGGCCTGACCAAATCCGTGCTGTATCAGTGCCCCCACTGCCCATACAGCACAGACAAAGCGGCCACTCTGATCAGCCACCAGAGGAGCCACGCCGACGAGAAGCTCTACAAGTGCTGGGTGTGCGATGAAGTTTTTGCGAATTCAGAAGACTACTGCTCCCATCAGACCACGCACATCAATCGAGCGCGACGCAGGAAGTCGATCGTCCAACCGCCAAAAGACGTCTCACCGGACAAGAGAATCCGAGCGGGCGAGAGGCCCTACCACTGCAACGTCTGCGGGGTGGACTTCACTCAGTCGCAACACCTCCTCAAACACCAGAGGATCCACACGAACGAGAAGCCGTACGCGTGCACCGTGTGCGGCAAGGCGTTCGTCCGCTCGGCCAACCTCGTCATCCACACTCGGGTCCACACGGGCGAGAAGCCGTACAAGTGCGCCATGTGCGGCAAGGCATACAGCCAGTCGACGGCTCTCATCAACCACAAGAGGACCCACACGGGCGAGAAGCCCTATGGGTGCGTGGTGTGCGGGAAGCGATTTGCCCTGTTGAAGGTTCTCGTTCAACACGAGAGGACCCACACGGGCGAGAAGCCCTACGAGTGCCCCACGTGCGGCAAGTCCTTCACCCAGTCGGGCACCCTGGTCATCCACAAGCGCACCCACACGGGCGAGAGGCCGTACACGTGCGATGTGTGCGGCAGGTCGTTCACGCACTTGGGCACCCTCCACGTGCACAAGAAGACGCACGCGGGCGGGAGTCCCTTCACGTGCCCCACGCGCGGGAAGGCCTCCACTGAGGCAGGGAGCCTCCGGGCGTGCCGGCAGGCCCGCGCGGGCTCCAGCGCGTCGCCGCCGCCAGCCCGTCCCCTCCTCCGCCGTCGCGCCCGCGGGAGGGCTGGGCTCCACGAGGGCACGATTGCCACTGGGGAGGTCGTGGCGAGCCTCGGGGGCAAGGTTCCCACAGCGACCCCCTCGGCAACCCCTTTGGCGACCCCCTCGGCATCGCTATCAGAACACGGAGAGACCCTCAGCTTTGAGACGTTGCCAGGGGTGAAGGTAGAATGCGACGGTGAAGATCCTTCCGCCTCCCTACCGATCGTGAAACGGGAGTGCGGAGGGATCGCCAGCTTCGAGACGTGGCCGGGGGTGAAGGTGGAATGCGACGGTGAAGATCCTTCCGCCTCCCTACCGATCGTGAAACGGGAGTGCGGAGGGATCGGCAGCGTTGAGATGTGGCCGGGGGTGAAGGTAGAACTTGGGGTGGAGGATTTTTCAGTTCCCCTCTCGATCGTGAAGCAGGAACAGGAAGAAAGCCCCGGCTGTGAGACGCAGCTGGGGTGAAGGTGGCACACAGGAGGCCGAGTCTCTGCTTTGGGAACGGATGTTGAGGTCTACGTGGGACGTGTGAAGGAGGAGGCTCCAAGCAAGCATGTCGAGTGAGAGCGAGTCCTCGACTGGGATCTTTGTTAATTTGCTAGCGTGGGTGGAGGATGTGTACTACACAGAGGGGACAGGTCCCGTGGAACGGAGATTAAACACGTGAGAAGCTGACCGAGAGAGAGAAATGTTGAGAAAATGTCGCGCGTTACATCGGCATGTTCGAAAGCACGAGCGTGTCTGCACGATTGTGAAGGTACACAACGTGGAGGCAATATTTTTTGCTCTGAGAACAGATACATGTGAAGTTAAAACTACGTAGACTTTGTTTTATTTTCCAGGTAAGGCCCACCACTTAGCCACATAGCTCTTTTTCAGAAGCGACCTGGCCATCACAAATGATACCTCAACGAAGCGGCCTATCATCACGTGGAGACTTATAGCAGCAGCCACATGCTCTCTAAACGCCTGGTGATGTTGATTCTAAATGTCGGGGTGGGGGGGGGGGAAACTGGAGGACCCGGAGAAAAATCCACGTGAACCACGGGGAGAGAGACATGCAAAGTCCAAATATACAGCAGGCCGTGTCAGAGCTGGGATTGAACCCACGACCTCCTGTATGCCAGACGAGGTAGTTCACATCTCACCACCATGTCACCCAACGGTGGAGGAGACGCCAAACCAGATTTTAAAGGAACACCATTTCCCGACCTTTGCCGATCTGGACGTGTGGGCGACGCAACACTCTTGAGCGGTGGTTTTTAACTTTCACTGCAGCCTTGCACCCCATTGGTTCTCGATCGTTACAAAAAATAATAAGTTGTCTCCTCCCTCGAGACAACAAAGACCAAAAGATCACCCCCTCCCCTGCCTCGCCGAAACAAAAGACATCTGGAGGTAAACTATTCACAAGGTTGTCTTGGGAAAGTTGTAAAACTCGATTGACCACTACTTCATAGAAAAAAAAGTCAGGCGGAAAGCACCAATATGGGCTGATGAGAGCATGCACACATGACCATAGTGTTAGGATCATTCCTATTGTGCTCCGATCAAAGTCAACATCTCCGAGGGAAGACCTGAGGCCACCGCTACCGCTACTCTTGAGCGTTCCCAGTACTTCGCCAACCCACATGCAAAGGATAGTGAGGGTCGAATCAGAGAATGACGCGGAACGATATAACCTGATCGGGAGCGTGTCCACTGAACAGAGTACGAGACGTACAGACAACTGGCGAAGGTTTCTCGGAAAGAGGGGGAAGACACGACGGGCGCTGTCTCTCCCGGCCGTTCCTCAGTCTGCACGGGTCAACCGTGTCTGGTGCCAATTGGGGTGACGCACTGCTGCCGGCGGATGAGCCGCAAGCGCTATCTGGCGACGTGACCATCGTGCAGACCACTGCAGATGGAGCCGGACCCATCGATTTCTGCCAGCACAGGCACCGCAGCCAGCGTGAGCAGCATGCCTACTCTTCAACCACTCCAGCGGTGGACGTGGAGCCTAGGTGTGTGGAGCCTAGGTGTATGCAGCCGAGTTCAATGACATGCCATGTGTTGACATACACCCGCCGACCAAACGCACCCTGCTGGGGACCTGAGGTGTTTTCGGTACGAAGAAACACACCCCTATCAAGCCGATCACTGCCTCTGGACCCCAGAACCACCAATAGCAGAGATCGTATGTGGACACACTCAAACCATTACTAACCACTATTATTATTGGACCTCGTGGTGACTCTCCTTGAACACACACACACACAACGTGCATATCAGTACAAGTAAGATTGTTCTGCTGCATTGTTTTGGTTTCGCATAAGGTTGCCATTCCAAGATGGTGTGTTAATTATTAACTGGTCATGGAGAAGCATTGTTCTGTCCCTTAAGTTGCATGAATATGGTCGTTTGGGAGTATTTTAGTAATTTCTTTTCATCACGTAATCGTACCAATGAATTAATTGATGTCATACTAGCCATTGATAAGCATCTATTAGCCAAATAAATATACACACTGGCATGTACACCATTGTTTCGGGATATTTCTTTAGTTGCATAATCGTACCAATAAATTAATTGATGTCATGCTAGCCATTGATAAGCAGGCCAGGATATACATGAAAGTGGGATCTAGGGGAAAGGTCATAGAAGGTGCCCATCGGGAAGCCTTGGGAACCCGCTAGTAGGATCCAGAAAGGGGGCGTGGCCGGGGTGCTTCGAGGCCACGCTGACAGTTTAAGAGGGGCCCCTTTGGGGGACCTCGGGGCTGTTGCTAGAAGTGGGATCCCCGTCATGCTGCTCAAGTCCATCGCCACCATTCTTCTCGTCGTCGTCTCCGTCTGCACCATCCCGGGGCGCCGCTAGTCAGACAGCCTACCAACTATATTCTTGGTTCTTTTGGTAAAGTCACGTAGAAAGGAAACAATAAAATAATAAAAATATAAAACAATAAAATCATCACGACGTTTCAACTGCAACACAAGCAATCATCATCAGGTGTAAAAACCACAGCAAGAAAATTTGAAATTTTCGTGCTGTGGTTTTCACACATGATGATGATTGTTTCCCTTCTACGTGACTTTACCGAAAGAACCAAGAATATGAATCCCTGCAGTCACGAAAGCTTTAAATCAAAAGCCTACCAACTGTTGTACTTAGTAGTGCCTCTGACAATGGATGGCTTTATTAAGTAGCGTGTTATCCCATTGGTGCTTGTTAAATAAAGAAGTGCCTACAAGTCTTAATGTCTCCGAGTTAGTCATTACAATTGTACTAATGAATTCATTGATGCCCCCTTTTGCCGTTGGACACATGTTTCTTTAGCATGGTTCTATATGAATGTTGTCATTTTCGAGGACTTTCCTATTGTCGTGTATTGTCACGTTACTATGAGGAGTTAGCCTATTGCTCAATATAATAACGTAACTATTGAGATTTTAATTGTACAGATTGATGAGTATGATATCTACAGGAGTACTGTTGCAATTCCGATCATAAGTGTGTTAGCAAATTAGAGTGTTTTAGATATTAAAGTTGCTGAACACAAGATTCTGAGTGGTTCCTTCCTAAGTTCATGCATAATTATCTTGACTATAACAACTGTATCCTATGGCGAGATCTGAATCCTAACACCGGACATAAGTATACTAAATCATAATCAGTATACAGTAAAACCTTGGATTGCGAGTAACTTGGTCTGCGAGTGTTTTGCAAGACGAGCAACATTTTAAAATAAATATTAATTTAATAAACGAGCGAGGTCTTGCAATACGAGTAGTATGTATACGCTTTGTCTGCCGAGCGTTACGTGATCACAACTGATATACGAGTGCTTTGATATACGAGTGTTTTGGATTACAAACACGTTTCCGGAACGAATTATGCTGGCAATCCAAGGTTTTACTGTATGTTTAAGCAAGAATCATGATCAATAAAAGTTGAAGCGAGAATCATTGTATTATCACGATTGGGAATACACCCCCAATGACAACGAAGCTGAACATCACATCACACAAACATCAATCACAAATAACCACATTCACAATACACCCCTAGACAACGAAAGAGCCAATAATAATACACGTAACTACACGCACAACTATTTATCAAAATACAAACTAACACACGCATTAATAATAACAACCGCCATTCGCCACTAAGTGGTGGTGACGTCACCACGACGCTTGTGCCAGGCTATTTGCACGTTGAGCCCACGGGAAGTGTCGAACGCCCGCTGGCAGGAGGTCACGGGGCAGACCCAGGATCCATGGGTCGACTGACTGAGATGACTGGCTGATGCACCACCTGTACCCCCTACTGTGCCAACTTGCTGTACTTTAGCCACTCGGCGCTCCGCTCATTGTGAGCATCACTCCTCCACAGAGGCCGATCTTGACACTGTTGGTACCAGTCATCGGCAAGTCCACTCAGCTCCACATCCTCCTGTACCACATCACTCCATCTCTTCTCGAGCCCGTGTCGCGCCCATTTAGCCTCTATCCGGCCGAACAAAAGCTGTTTAGGCATGCGGTGGCTGGGCATGCGGGCTACATGACCCAGCCATCGCAGTCTTGCCTGCCGGAGGATCTCACCCATGGGACTTTGTCCAGATTTTTCAAAGATTTGTGAGCTCCTCACACAATCCAGCCTGGTTAAACCCAGAATGGAGGCAGGCCAGCCTAAATGTTTCTAACCGGCGCAGATGTTCCATTAGGGGGGTCCACGTTTTACAAGCGTAGATAAGGTAGGGAATGACCGTCGCTGACAAGACCTGAAGCTTCATCCGGAACGACAGATGAGGTAGCTTCCACCCAGTGTTACATAACCGATGAAAAGATAATGCCGCTCGATTAGTTTGGAGTGAGATCTCTGCTGTAAAACCAGAGCTGGTCATGAGCACACTGTCCAGGTATTGGAAACTCTCTACTCTCTCCACAACTGCCCATCACCAATTGGGAGTTGTGGGGGTGGAGTGTCCGATGGTACCAAATACCCCGGCAGGTGCTTAGTTTTGGTGGGGCTGATGGTAAGGCCCACCTCTTAGTGGCACGCTCCAGGTTCAGCAGCAGCGCTTCCAACTCTTCCTCTGAATGAGCAGCAATTACCAGATCATTGGCATACGTAACATGGTTGAGCAATAGGGAGCCATCCCTTGACCGCACCCAGACATCGATCAGCCTCCCATTGTATCTGTACCAGATGGAAATTCCTCCGGTACAGCTATTGAAGGCTTCACAAACTACGTGGTCGAAATAGATGTTAAATAATGTGGGAGCCAGAGGACATCCCTGTCGCATTCCAAGGTGTACAGGGAATGGCTGTGACTCCTGGCCACGTAGTTTTACCTGGGCCCGCTCATCATCATGAAGGTCCTTGATGATCTGAGCAGAGGGTCTGGGACTCCGAAAGCATGAAGAACAACCTAGAGCCTAGGCATACTGATGGTTTCATAGGCCTTGACCAGGTCAATAAAGCAGAGATGTAGGTCTTGTTGGAATTCCCTACACCTTTGCTGTAGCAGATGGACAGAAAATATGGCATCTGTGCAGGACCGCCCTTTCCTGAAACCTCATTGGGGCTCCGCAAGCCTCTCCTCAGCATACCTGGCAAGGTGATGTTGAATAATCCTTGCCAGGACCTTTCCCGGCACACTGAGGAGTGAGATGCCCCTGTAGTTGTTACAGTCTGTGCGGTCCCCCTTCTTAAAGAGGGGGACCACCAGGGCATCCTTCCAATCCTGTGGAACCCGTACAGTGGTCCAGACTGTTGGTATGATGTCATGTAGGGCAGTCTGTGCACAAACACCACCCTGCCTTAGCATTTCGCTTGGGAGATCGGCTCTGCCCGGTGCCTTTCCTAGTCTCCGGCTCTGGATTGCGTTCAGTACTTCCTCAACAGATGGCACCTCAGCCAGCCACTCACAGGGGGTGACTTCTTCCCATATTGGAGGCACCACAGCCACAGCAGGCTGAGGGATTTGCCCTCCCCCAGGACCTCACATAAATGCTCAGCAAATGTGCAAACCTGTTCCTGGGGGTCGGAGATTGGATCACCGTTCTTTCCCCTAATGATGGTAATAAGTGTGGTGCTGCAGGTTACTTTTTATGGAATTAAAGAGCTATTTGTGATCACGGGCCATTGAGGCTGACTCCATCTCATCAGCAATCCGCGACCACCAACCATCCTTGCAGTGCCTCATGGCTCTCTGAACTTCCGAGCGAAGGTTGCGGTAAACCTCATTCTCTGACGTGGGATGCTGTAGACGATAAGGAGGTCTGGACCATGTACCCAAAGCAGCCATTGCAGCTGCATGAGCCACAGTACTAAACCTCGCCCATTTCCCCTCGACATCAGGAGGAGTGGGGGACGATGCCATCCCCAGCCGCAACCAATGATGAAATTCTCGCTTGCAACTTTCATCAGCTAGCTGAGACCATGCCACTATGGGTTCCACCTTCACTACCAGCCACAGCTCGCAGCCTGATCTCCCTCCCCACTCCTGCTTGACGACCACCAAGGAGACGGAAGCGTCTTCAGCTCCGCTTTCCACCTTAACTTGCCGGGCACGCCTCGATGCTGGCGTCTTCTTCACGTTGTTCTTGTCGAACGGCTGCCGATGTAGATGCAGAGATCAACGACTAATTTCGCTTTCACCAGGTGGTCTAGCCCAGATGATGCGTCAGGAGGAGCAGTAAGCGGAGAAGCGTAGCATACCGTACAATCGCTCGTCCGGTTTCTCGCAACAGGGGGAAGAGGCGCACGCGTGAACATCCATCGCACGTCGGGTTCCACACACAGAGACAGAGTTGTGTGTGTGTGTCTCTCTGTGTGTGTGTGTCTCTCTATGCGTCTCTTCTCTATGTGTCTCTCTGTGTGTGTCTCTCTATGCGTCTCTTCTCTATGTGTCTCTCTGTGTGTGTCTCTCTCTGTGTATCTCTCTCCGTGTCTGTATTTGTCTCTCTCTCTGTATATGTGTCTCTCTCCGAGCTGGCATTTACATACAGTTCTCACCTGATGACGGTTGCTTGTGTTGCAATCGAAACGTCGTGATCTGTTATTTATTTTCTTTTTCTTTCTACGTCACTTTACCGAAAGAACCAAAGAGTAATTCCTGCAGTCACGAAAGCTTCAAATCAAGATAGAACATGCCAATTCGTTACGAGTACAGCACACCGGTGTGTTGGAGAGTAAATCCACATTCACAATCTGAGCACGATGTTTTGCCAGTAATTACAACTAGCATCATCAGGCGACAGCCATATTTAAACCCGTTTCATTCTTAAATCCCTCTGCTCTTCTGTGCGTATCTCGATCCCGGCTGCGTTCCTTGAGTGGGCATTTGCTGTGTCTGCGCCTCGGTTGTGGAATTCCCTACCATCGTAAATTCGTTCAAACGACAATGTGGATACTATATTCTTAGTTTTTTCGGTAAAGTCACGTTGAAGAGAAACAACAAAATATATATAAAACAATAAAAAATTCTCACGACGTTTCGACCATAACTCAAACCGACACACCTGATGATGACCGTTTGAGTTATGGTCGAAACGTCGTGAGAATTTTTTATTGTTTTATATATATATTTTGTTATTTTGTTGTTTCTCTCAACGTGACTTTACCGAAAAAACTAAGAATATGAATTACTGCAGTCACGAAAGCTTTAAATCAAAATTTAATGTGGATACTGTTAAGTCGCGTCTAAAAAAACACATTATTAAGTCCGTCTATTCTATGTAGCTCTCCTCTTTTGGCCTTTCCTTAACCTTAAAATTAAATGACCATTATTATTAATTGGCTAAGGCGGGTGGTGGAGGGTTTAACGACACATTTATATTTATGCGATCTAACCTAAAAACCTCCATTATGGATAATATTGGTCGCGAAAGGCAATGTGTTGACATCAAAATACTGCACGTCTATAAATCACCCCATGATGCAGAGCCTGAGAGATTAGAGTGTTAAGTACGGTGCAATAAATGCTGTGACTTTTGGTCTATTTGCATTGTTTATTGATGCCAACTTCACATAGTAAACGAATTTGAAACACGAGAAAAACAACACCTACAAACATAACGACATACAAGAATGTGCAACAATAAGCTATTTTAAACAATGACGATTTAGTCATTGGCATTTTTTTAAATCCGGCACCTCCTCCCCACCCCACCAAAGCCGCCAGATAAGGGACCATCCATTTAGTGCGTACGCATGGAGGGGGGAGGGGAGATTAACCCAAATGCGTACGCTTGCGTATGGGGGGGGGGGGGGGTGAAGCCTCGATAATTGGCCTTCAAATTAGTTAAGTAGTCTGGCGGTGGACTATCTAACTTAAACACGTACATATTATTAATCCTTGATCGTTTCTGCGTGGATTAAATATCGGTCGTTCTATAGGACTCGGGGGGGGGGGGAGGGGGGGGTGCTGCGTCAATTGTACGTACGCAGGTGGGGGGGGGGGGGGGGTGTAAAAAGTATGCGTGCGTACAGGAAGGGGTCAAATTTGTACAGATTTTTGCATACATACTAAATGGATGGCCCCTAATCGATCGACTGTAAGTTTTGCGGTGCAGTTTGCAAGTGTTTGCATTTTAAGTTAAGGTTACGAAAATATATACAGCACAGGGACTCCTCTACCTAGGAACATTCGACTTAAGAACTTTTGGAGATACGAACCAACCTGGTCCGGTGCGTCCAGTTGCCTGATTTGACCGAGAGTCGTAAGTTCAACCACCGTGCAGTGGTGGCATCTACATCTGCAGAAGGTGAAGAACCAGTGGCATCTACATCTGCAGAACATGAAGAACCAGCGGCATCTACATATGCAGAAAATTAAGAACCACCGCCATCTACATCTGCAGAATATGAAGAACCAGTGGCATCTACATCTAAAGAATGCGACAAATCAGTGGCATCTACATCTGCAGAACATGAAGAATCAGCGGCATCTACATCTGTAGAACATGAAGAACCAGCGGAATCTACATTTTCAGAACGTGATGAACCAGTGGCATCTACATCTGCAGAACGTGAAGAACCAGTGGCATCTACATCTGTAGAATGCGACGAACCAGTGACATCTACAGAATAGGAAGAACCAGTGGCTTTTATATCTGCAGAACATGAAGAACCAGTGGCATCTACATCTGCAGAACATGAAGAACCACTGGCATCTACATCTGCAGAACATGAAGAACCAGTAGCATATACATAAGATTTTACAATATTTAAAGCCATTCCCCCATGTTTAGTGTACATGCCGTACAACATGTTTGAACAACAGGGAGTAAATATGAGACTTACGAACAAATCGATTTACGAACAGACCTCTGGAGCATAAAGAAGTCCCTGTATAGGGTATATATACACAGTGTATATATGTGTGTGTTCACGGTGTATATATGTGTGTTTGGAACCGTTGAAGAGGGTTCTCCAATGGTCACACCGTTGGGAAATAACCATCTGAGGACCCAATCAAAACCATCACCTTGCCATACATAGCAGGGGTCACCAGAAAGTTTTCCAAAATCATGAGCAAACACAAGATCCAGGTTCGATTTTACACAGTACATAAAATTTGTGATCTGATTCCATCTGTGAAGGATGTGATCCCTGACATGAAATACCCCGGCGTCTACAAACTAAGCTGTGTCTTCGGCAGTAGATACATTGGGGAAACTAAGCGACACGCCTCAGACCATGTTTGTGAACATAAGGCTCACGAAATTGATATCTCTAAGACGAAGGTACTTTGCAAACCCACTGGCTATCAACAAAGATTCGTTCATGAAGCCATCCATATTTATAGACACAGACACAATTTCAACCTAGAAGATGGGTACAAACTGAGCAATCATTGGAATGACGTTATTAACCAGTTTAAGTCATAACTGGCTGTGATGGTCTCATCCTACCACCTTCCGATGTTAGTTGTTATTTTCGGCTCTCTGATTTTTCACATTACGATATTAAATTTCTCACACTAACACAGGTACCTCGCGCGCCATCCTTGAGGTTGTTGCTCGGCGATCTGCCATTGACATGCTAATCTCTCGCGTTCACATAGCCACCTTGGCGCGCTCGCCGTGGAGGATGCTCGGCGATCTCACATTAACATGCTAACTTTTACCTGGCAGCCCTTTCATTGGTGGGAAACCCACCACCGCCTCAATCGCTGCCTACCACTTGCATTCTCATTGGCTGCTGACATTTGGGCTACGCCCATCTCAAACCTTTATAAACAGTTGTCTTTAGAAGCTAACCCCCATTTTCCTGATGACGACCGCTTGTGTTGTGATCGACACGTCGTAGTTTTTTGTTATTTTCTTTTAACATATCTACGCGACTTTACCGAAAGACCCAAAGAATATCCACCGTATCGCACGACGCCACGTCTCACTTTTGCAGACGTCACGCTCTTCGTTGCCCGTGACGTCACGTCCCTTCGCCTCACCGGCCAAGACGTCACGGAACTTCGTCCCCCACCTGTCGTGACGTCACTTGTCGTGCCCTCACTGTACCGGTCCTGACGTCACGTCTGTCCGTTTGAGTTTCATTTATTAGGTATAACCCTGTGAGCCATGCGGCTCTTGACTCGGGTGCAACCGCAACAAAACAAAAACATGAACAAGGAACATCTTAAAGTGACTACATGCAACAGAAAAATCCAGGAAAAAACAGCAAAGTCTTCCAGAAAAAACACCGTATTTCAACGCTATGTTCAAAAATCCCAGTGGGATGAAAGTCAAACAATAACAACCATAAGACAAATTTTGATTTAAAGCTTTCGTGACTGCAGTAATTCATATTCTTAGTTTTTTTCGGTAAAGTCACGTTGAAGAGAAACAACAAAATAACAAAATATATATAAAACAATAAAAAATTCTCTGATGATGACCGTTTGAGTTATGGTCGAAACGTCGTGAGAATGTTTTATTGTTTTATATATATTTTGTTATTTTGTTGTTTCTCTTCAACGTGACTTTACCGAAAAAAAACTAAGAATAACCATAAGACAATGTAGATTAACGTTATCAGTCTAACTTTGTACTACAACAAACAAACAAAACTTTTTCAAAATCACCAAAATAAAGCTATACAAATAATGTAACAGTGATCATAGGAACTGTGATTCAAATTTAACAATAAACGATATATACATAACATGTACCACTAAACCATGCAGCCATAGCTGGCTGTTCGAGTCACTCCATAACAGCAGGAGTATCAGTAGCAGAATCAAAAATTTTCAATACACCTTTAAAGATCAGCACACTTTAATCAAAACTCAAGATCATACTTTGCAGAGGTCATCCCGAACGATACATTTGATTTCAGGCCATTCTGAATAGCAGTGGCAGCTAGGGGTGTACAACTCCTCGAGAGTAGTTTTGAGTGAAGATCTCACAGGCAGTGATCAAGTTGCAGTTTATTGGCGATAGCATTCCAGACCCTGGGGGCATCAATCGAAAAGGCCCTTCCTCTAGTATTTGTACAGCAATAAGGAATGTGAAGCTGGTAAATGAGTGATGACCTTAGGTCACATTTGTTCTTCGAAACAGTGAGGAGATGCACCAGGTAGTCTGCTGATTTTTTACTAGTACATCGTGAATAAATAAGATCTGGTGCACAAGCCGTCGATCAAGATAAGTTTGACCCAATGTAGAGATCGTAGTGGTGGGTCCTATACGGGCAGTTCAATGCAAATCTTAAGGCCGAGTGATAAATTGATTCAAGCTTCTTCAGTATAGTTCTGGGGACTGATTTATATACGATGTCACAGTAATCAAGTAGAGGCAGTACGGTAGCTTTTATCAATTCCAAGTGGAACATAGGGGGGGAGCAGTGCTTATGTCGATACAGAAAACCAATTTTAAATTTTATCCTTTTACCAATATAATCAATGTGATCTTGAAAATTCAGTTTTGAATCAAAGATGACCCCAATATACTTATAGATCTTGACTTGCTCTATTTGATGATTATTTAAGGAATATAATTGGGGAAAAATAACTTCCTGCTTTAGTCCCGGTGAGAAGCATAGCACCTTGGTTTTGGAGGTATTCAGGACTAGTTTAAGAGCAAATAGCTGATGTTGTAGTTTGTTGAAATTACCCTGGAGCTTAGCAATCACGTAGTCCGGAGTGTCATCTGCAAACAGATTTACCCTGGAATGATCCAGGTCAGTGCCCAAGTCATTGAAATAAAGAGAGAATCTAGATTTGAAGTTTTCGTGACTGCAGGGATCCATACTCTTTGATTCTTTCGGTAAAGTTACGTAGTAGGTATAAAAATAAAAATAAGCAAATTAATTTATTTTATTTTCATACCGACGTGACTTTACTGAAAGAACCAAAGAGTATAAAGTGAGAACAAGAGGGGGCCGAGGATGGAACCCTGTGGAACCCCTTTTGTTATCTTAACACTGGTTGACCTCCAACCATCTAGGAATACAGTTTTGGTGGGAGAAGAAAGGTAACTTTTGTTACAATTCTACTGCGTGTTTAGAGAAACAGAGGCAACGTTCCCTAAAGGTCGCAACGTCACGTCTCTTCGACTTCCCCCCCCCCATTGCTCGTGACCTCATGTCTCGTCACCCAAACGCCCAATGCTCGTGACGTCACGTCTCGTCGCCCACATCAGCGGACGTGACGTACCCATTCGACGCACTCCCCCCCTCCTCGTCGTGACGTCACGCTGGCGTTGCTTGCTCCCGTTTTGCTCGCCCGACGTCACTCGCACGCGACGGAAGGAAGCCGAAGGAGACGGAGCGGAGGGCGAAGAGCGACCCGGAGGCCGTGGGTGAGAGACCGTGGGTGAGAGACTGTGGGAGATTGTGAGTGGGAGATTGTGAGTGGGAGATTGTGAGAGGGAGATTGTCAGAGGGAGATTGTGAGTGGGAGATTGTGAGTGGGAGATTGTGAGAGGGAGATTGTCAGAAGGAGATTGTGAGTGGGAGATTGTGAGAGGGAGATTGTGAGTGGGAGATTGTGAGAGGGAGGTTGTGAGTGGGAGATTGTGAGTGGGAGATTGTGAGAGGGAGATTGTCAGAGGGAGATTGTGAGTGGGAGATTGTGAGAGGGAGATTGTGAGTGGGAGATTGTGAGAGGGAGATTGTGAGTGGGAGATTGTGAGTGGGAGATTGTGAGTGGGAGATTGTGAGAGGGAGATTGTCAGAGGGAGATTGTGAGAGCGAGATTGTGAGAGGGAGATTGTGAGAGGGAGATTGTCAGAGGGAGATTGTGAGTGGGAGATTGTGAGTGGGAGATTGTGAGTGGGAGATTGTGAGTGGGAGATTGTGAGAGGGAGATTGTGAGTGGGAGATTATGAGTGGGAGATTGTGAGTGGGAGATTGTGAGTGGGAGATTGTGAGAGGGAGATTGTCAGAGGGAGATTGTGAGAGGGAGATTGTGAGTGGGAGGTTGTGAGAGTGAGATTGTCAGAGGGAGATTGTGAGTGGGAGATTGTGAGAGGGAAATTGTCAGAGGGAGATTGTGAGAGGGAGATTGTGAGTGGGAGATTGTGAGTGGGAGATTGTGAGTGGGAGATTTTGAGAGGGTGATTGTCATAGGGAGATTGTGAGTGGGAGATTGTGAGAGGGAGATTGTGGGAGGGAGATTTTGAGTGGGAGATTGCTAGAGGGAGATTGTGAGAGGGAGATTGTGAGAGGGAGATTGTGAGTGGGAGATTGTGAGAGGGGCATTTTGAGAGGGAGATTGTGAGTGGGAGATTGTGAGAGGGAGATTGTGAATGGAAGATCGCGAGTGGAAGATTGTGAGACATCACGAGGGTGAAATCGCGAGTAGAGAGACCATGAGAGATGTTTGCGCCGGTTTGAAACTTGCAGGCCGGCCCTGCCTACGATCCATCGTGGGTTTAACCGGCAGGCTGAATCACAGTGTGAGGAGCTCACACATACTTGAAGGATCTGGACAGGGTCCCTAACTTTGGCGAGCTCCTCCAAGGCTGCGTTGGCTGGGTCATGTAGCCCGCATGCCCAGCCACCGCACGCCCAAGCAGCTTCTCGTTGGCCGAATAGAGGGGGACTAAACGGGCACGGTACGGGCTGGAGATGAGATGGCGCTGATGCGGTACGGGAGGATGTGGAGCTATGATGCCTTGCTGACGACTGGTACCAGTGGTGTCAAGATCGGCCTCTGTGGAGGAGGAGGCTCGTGAAGGATGCTGCTGCTGGGCAGTTGGTGGCAGTCCCCTTCCAGTAACAATGTAGGGCAGAGGAGCGACGCTCACAACAACGAGCAGAGCGCCGGGCTACTAAAAGCACCAGGTTTGCACAGTAGGGGGCACAGGTGGTGCATCTGCTCGTCATCTCAGTCAGAATCAGAATGTTTATTTAGACTGCAGGAGGAGGGATCCGATGAGCAATACATCTCTTTTCCACAATTGTCCAGTATGGGTATAGGGAGTCAGCGATTTAAAACGGCAAACACACGATACACACAAACACACGATACACACACACGATACACACAAACATGATACACACAAACACACGATACACACACACACGATACACACAAACACACGATACACACAAACACACGATACACACAAACACACGATACACACAATCACACGATACACACAATCACACGATACACACACACACGATGGGAGTGTAAAATAGAACAAAAGGTAAATGGAAATTATTGTTTAATTTCGATTTATCAAGATTGGGCAAGGCAGCAAAAATAGCAACAGAGCAGTAGCCAACTGTGCTAATCGGAGGTGCGGGGGGAAAGACAACAAACTGAACACAACAACAACAAGCAGCAGTTCTAAAGAATTGAGTTTGTCAATCGAGATCAGGGGTGGGGAACGTCCGGCCCGTGAAATAATTTAGTGTGGCCCTGCCAAGGCAACCGCAGGCGGGAGTCAAAATTCAATAAATCTAGGACCAAACCTGGATAAGCATTTGCGAGTAGCACCATCGTCAATACCAGCTAACATCACATGCCTCGCCAAAGAGAAGCAGTTCCAGCCATCACATTAGGGGTGAGTTAATTAAATGTTTGACCAAATATAACAGGCTAATTTTTAAGTTGATAAATTTGTATGGCCCATGAATGATGTTATAAATATCCAAATGGCCCTTGGCAGAAAAAAAGGTTCCCCACCCCTGATCTAGATGATGATTTAAAAGTGCATTGTAGCTCCCAGTGGCTTCCTCATACCGGAGAGGAAGAGCGTTCCAGATGTCCGCTACCAGCAGCAGCATCTGAAAGCACCACGCGACGCAGCGGCGACCACTGCCTTTGTTCTACAGTTAGCAACCGGTGTCCGTGGTTTCTAGCTTCACGCCTTGTTTGCGATACTTCACAGGGACGGAGTGGGGCGGGGGAGATTCATTTTCCTTTGTGTGCCTCACTCTTTGCTCCAGCGTCAGGACGGGAACGATGAACAAGGGAGGAGAGATGAAGATCTACTGCCCGGTCTGCAACTGGGTGGTGGTCAGCCTGCCAGCCCTGGAGGACCACATGAAGCAGCACAAAGGCCTTACCAAGTCCGTGCTGTACCAGTGCCCCCACTGCCCATACAGCACGGACAAAGCGGCCACTCTGATTGGCCACCAGAGGAGCCACGCCGACGAGAAGCTCTACAAGTGCTGGGTGTGCGATGAAGTTTTTGCGAATTCGGGAGACTACTGTTCCCATCAGAGCATGCACATGATGCGGGCGCGACGCAGGAAGTCGATCGTCCCACTGCCAGGAGACGTTTCACCGGAAGAGAGGATCCGCGCGGACGAGAGGCCCTACCACTGCAACGTCGGCGGGGTGGACTTCACTCAGTCGCAAAACCTCTTCAAACACCAGAGGATCCGCACGAAAGAGAAGCCATATGTGTGCACCATGTGCGGCAAGGCGTTCGTCCGCTCGGCCAACCTCGTCATCCACACTCGGGTCCACACGGGCGAGAAGGCATACAAGTGCGCCATGTGCGGCAAGGCATACAGCCAGTCGACGGCTCTCATCAACCACAAGAGGACTCACACGGGCGAGAAGCCCTATGGGTGCGCGGTGTGCGGAAAGCGATTTGCCCTGTTGAAGGTTCTCGTCCAACATGAGAGGACCCACACGGGCGAGAAGCCCTACGAGTGCACCACGTGCGGCAAGTCCTTCACCCAGTCGGGCGCCCTGGGCATCCACAAGCGTACCCACACGGGCGAGAGACCATACACGTGCGACGTGTGCGGCAGGTCGTTCACGCACTTGAAGACCCTCCACGTACACAAGAAGACGCACGCGGGCGGGAGGCCTTTCACGTGCCCCAAGCGCGGGAAGGCCTCCTCCGAGGCAGGGAGCCTCCGGGCGTGCCGGCAGGCCCGTGCGGGCTCAAGCGCATTGACGCCGCCGGCCCGTTCCCCCCTCCTCCGCCGCGGAGCCTGCGGTAAGGCCAGGCTCCACGAGTGCGTGATTGCCGCTGGGGAGGTCGTGGTGAGCCTCGGGGATGAGGGTCCCACAGCGACCCCCTCAGCAACCCCTTTGGCGACCCCCTCGGCATCGCTAACATCAGAACACGGAGAGACCCGCAGCTTCGAGACGTTGCCAGGGGTGAAGGTAGAATGCGATGGTGAAGATCCTTCCACCTCCCTACCGATCGTGAAACGGGAGTGCGGAGGGATCGCCAGCTTCGAGACGTGGCCGGGGGTGAAGGTGGAATGCGACGGTGAAGATCCTTCCGCCTCCCTACCGATCATGAAGCGGGAGTGCGGAGGGATCGCCAGCGTCGAGACGTGGCCAGGGGTGAAGGTAGAACTTGGGGTGGAGGATTCTTCAGTTCCCCTCTCGATCGTGAAGCAGGAACAGGAAGAAAGCCCCGGCTGTGAGACGCAGCTGGGGTGAAGGTGGCACACAGGAGGCCAAGTCTCTGCTTTGGGAAGTGTGAAGGAGGCTCCAAGCAAGCATTTCAAGTGAGAGCGAGTCCTCGACTGGGACCTTTGTTAATTTGGTAGCGCGGGTAGAGGATGTGTACTCCACAGAGGGGGCAGGTCTAGTGGAATGGAGATTAAACACGTGAGAAGCTGACCGAGAGAGAGAAATGTTGAGAAAATGTCGCGCGTTACATCGGCCGTTCGAAAGCACGAGCGTGTCTGCACGACTGTGAAGGTACACAACGTGGAGGCAATATTTTTTGTTCTGAGAACAGATACACGTGAAGTGAAAACTACGTAGACTTTGTTTTATTTTACCAGGTAAGGCCCACCACTTAGCCACGTAGCTCTTTTTCAGAAGCGACCTGGTCATCACAAATGATACCTCAACGAAGTGGCCTATCATCATGTGGACACTTATAGCAGCAGCCACATGCTCTCACACGCCTGGTTATGTTGATTTTAAATGTCGGGGTGGGGGAGGGGTGGAAACTGGAGGACCCGGAGAAAAATCCACGTGAACCACGGGGAGAGAGACATGCAAAGTCCAAATATACAGCAGGCCGTGTCAGAGCTGGGATTGAACCCACGACCTCCTGTATGCCAGACGAGGTAGTTAACATCTCACCACCATGTCACCCAACGGTGGAGGAGACGCCAAACCAGATTTTAAAGGAACATCATTTCCCGACCTTTGCCGATCTGGACGTGTGGGCGACGCAACAGGCAAGGATGGATAACGTGCAACGGACTTTAAACTTCGGTAAACACTCTTGAGCGGTGGTTTTTAACTTTCACTGCAGCCTTGCACCCCGTTGGTTTTCAATTGTTGCAAAAAATATTAAGTTGTCTCCTCCCTCGAGACAACAAAGACCAAAAGATCACCCCCTCCCCTGCCTCGCCGAAACAAAAGACATCTGGAGGTAAACTATTCACAAGGTTATCTTGGGAAAGTTGTAAAACTCGATTGACCACTACTTCATCGAAAAAGAAAAATAGTGAAGCGGATAGCGCCAATATGGGCTGATGAGAGCATGCACACGTGACCATAGTGTTAGGATCATTCCTATTGTGCTCCGATCAAAGTCAACATCTCCGAGGGAAGACCTGAGGCCACCGCTATCGCTACTCTTGAGCGTTCCCAGTACTTCGCCAACCCACATGCAAAGGATAGTGAGGGTCGATTCAGAGACTGACGCGGAACGATATAACCTGATCTGGAGCGTGTCCACTGAACAGAGCTCGAGACATTCAGACAATTGGCGGAGGTTTCTCGGAAAGAGGGGGGAAGACACGACGGGCGCTGTCTCTCCCGGCCGTTCCTCAGTCTGCAAGGGTCAATCGTGTCTGGTGCCAAGGGGGGTGACGCACTGCTGCCGGCGGACGAGCTGCAGGCGCTATCTGGCGACGTGACCATCGCGGACACCACTGTAGAGGGAGCCGGACCCATCGATTTCTGCCAGCACAGGCGCCGCAGCCAGCGTGAGCAGCATGCCTACTCTTCAACCACTCCAGCGGTGGACGTGGAGCCTAGGTGTATACAGCCAAGTTCAATGATATGCCGTGTGCTGACATACAACCGCCGATCCAACGCACCCTGCTGGGGACCTGAGGTGTTTTCGGTACGAGGAAACACACCGCTATCAAGCCGATCACCGCCTCTGGACCCCAGAACCACCAATAGCAGAGATCGTACGTGGACAAACTCAAACCATTACTAACCACTAGGATTATTGGACCTCGTGGTGACTGCCCTTCAACAGACACACACAACATGCATATCGATACAAGTAAGATTGTTCTGCGTTGCTTTGGTTTTGCATAAGGTTGCCATTCCAAGATGGTGTGTTAATTATTAACTGGTCATGGAGAAGCATTGTTGTCCCTTAAGTTGCATGAATATGGTCGTTTGGGAGTATTTTAGTCATTTGGTTCTTTTCATCACGTAATCTTGCCAATGAACTCATTGATGTCATACTAGCCATTGATAAGCATCTATTAGCCAAATATACACACTGGCATGTACACCATTGTTTCTAATTGCGTAGTGGCATAGCGCTGTCTGCTGGCAAAAGAGAGGATCTGCGGCATACGGCAGTTCTGACGTCAGCAGGCCAGGATATGCATGAAAGTGGGATCTAGGGAAAAGGTCACAGAAGGTGGCCATCGGGAAGCCTTGGGAACCCGCTAGTAGGTTCCAGAAAGGGGGCGTGGCCGGGGTGCTTCGAGCCCACGCTGACAGTTTAAGAGGGGCCCCTTTGGGGGACCTCGGGGCTGTTGCTAGAAGTGGGATCCCCGTCGTGCTGCTCAAGTCCATCGCCACCATTCTTATCGTCGTCGTCTCCGTCTGCACCATCCCGGGGCGCCGCTAGTCAGACAGCCTACCAACTATATTCTTGGTTCTTTTGGTAAAGTCACGTAGAAGGGAAACAATAAAATAATAAAAATATAAAACAATAAAATTTTCACGACGTTTCGACTGCAACACAAGCAATCATCATCGGCTGTGGTTTTAACACATGATGATTGTTTCCCTTCTACGTGAATTTACCGAAAGAACCAAGAATATGAATCCCTGCAGTCACGAAAGCTTTAAATCAAAAGCCTACCAACTGTTCTAACTAAGTAGTGGCTCTGACAATAGACGGCTTTATTAAATTGCATGTTATCCCATTGGTGCTTGTTAACTAAAGAAGTGCCTACAAGTCTTAATGTCTCCGAGTTAGTCATTACAATTATACTAATTAATTCATTGATGCCCCCTTTTGCCATTGGACACATGTTTCTTTAGCACGGTTCTATATGAATGTTGTCATTTTCGAGGACTTTCCTATTGTCGTGTATTGTCACGTTACTATGAGGAGTTAGCCTATTGCTAAATTTAACAGCGTAACTATTGAGATTTTAATTGTACAGATTGATGAGTGTGATATCTACAGGAGTACTCTTGTGGCAATTCCGATCATAAGTGTGTTAGCAAATTAGAGTGTTTTTACATATTAAAGTTGCTTCACACTGAAGATTCTGAGTGGTTACTAAGTTCATGCATAATTATCTTAATTATAACAACTTTTTCCTGTGGCGAGATCTGAATCCTGAGACCGGACATAAGTATACTATCATAATCAGTAAAATCTTGGATTGCGAGTAACTTAGTCTGCGAGTGTTTTGCAAGACGAGCAACATTTTAAAATAAATATTAATTTGATAAACGAGCGAGGTCTTGCAATACGAGTAGTATGTATACGCTTTGTCTGCCGAGCGTCACGTGATCACAACTGATATACGAGTGCTTTGATATACGAGTGCTTTGGATTACAAACACATTTCCGGAACAAATCATGCTGGCAATCCAAAGTTTTACTGCATGTTTAAGCAAGAATCATGATCAGTAAAAGTTGAAGCGAGAATCATTGTATCATCACGATTGGGAATACACCCCCAAGACAACGAAGCTGAACATCACATCACACAAACATCAATCACAAATAACCACATTCACAATACACCCCTAGACAACGAAAGAGCCAATAATAATACACGTAACTACACGCACACCAATTTATCAAAGTACAAACTAACACACGCATTAATAACAACCGCCATTCGCCACTAAGTGGCAGTGACGTCACCACGACGCTTGTGCCAGGCTATTTGCACGTTGAGGCCATGGGAAGTGTCGAACGCCCGCTGGCAGGAGGTCACGGGGCAGACCCAGGATCCACGGGTCGACTGACTGAGACGACTGGCTGATGCACCACCTGTGCCCTCTACTGTGCCAACTTGCTGTACTTTAGCCACCCGGCGCTCCGCTCGTTGTGAGCATCGCTCCTCTGCCCTCCGTTGTTGTTGGAGGGCAACTGCCTCCAACTGCCCAGTAACAGCGGCCTTCACGAGCCTCCTCCACAGAGGCTGATCTTGACATTGCCGGTACCAGTCATCGGCAAGTCCACTCAGCTCCACATTTTCCTGTACCACATCACTCCATCTCTTCTCGAGCCCGTGTCGCGCCCATTTAGCCTCTATCCGGCCGAACAAAAGCTGTTTAGGCATGCGGTGACTGGGCATGTGGGCTACATGACCCAGTCAATGCAGTCTTGCCTGCTGGAGGATCTCACCCATGGGACTTTGTACAGATTTTTCAAACATTTGTAAGCTCCTCACACAATCCAGCCTGGTTAAACCCAGGATGGAGGCAGGCAAGCCTAAATGTTTCTAACCGGCAAAGATGTTCCATTCGGGGGGTCCATGTTTTACAAGCGTAGAGAAGGTAGGGAATGACCGTCGCCGAGAAGACCTGAAGCTTCGTGCGGAGTGACAGACCAGGTAGCTTCCACCCAGCGTTACACAACCGATGAAAAGATAATGCCGCTCGATTAATTTGAAGTGAGATCTCTGCTGTCAAACTGGAGCTGGTCATGAGCACACTGCCCAGGTATTGGAAACTCTCCACAACTGCCCCATCACCAATTGGGAGTTGTGGGGGGTGGAGTGTCCGATGGTACAAAATACCCCGGCAGGTGCTTAGTTTTGGTGGGGCTGATGGTAAGGCCCCACCTCTTAGTGGCACGCTCCAGGTTAAGCAGCAGCGCTTCCACCTCATCCTCTGAGTGAGCAGCAATTACCAGATCATTGGCATACATGACATGGTTGAGCAATAGGGAGCCATCCCTTGACCGCACCTAGACATCGATGAGTCTCCCATTGTGTCTGTACCAGATGGAAATTCCTTTTGAACAGCTATTGAAGGCTTCACGAACTACGTGGTCGAAAAATATGTTAAAGTGGGAGCCAGGGGACATCCCTGTCGCACCCCAAGGTGTACAGGGAATGGCTGTGACTCCTTGCCACGTAGTTTTACCTGGGCCCGCTCACCCTCATGAAGGTCCATAATGATCTGAGCAGAGGGTCAGGGACTCCCAAAGCATGAAGAACAACCTAGAGCCCAGGCATACTGATGGTTTCATAGGCCATGACCAGGTCAATATAGCAGAGATGTAGGTCTTGTTGGAATTCCCTACACCTTTGCTTTAGCAGATGGACAGAAAATATGGCATCTGTGCAGGACTGCCCTTTCCTGAAACCTCATTGGGGCTCGGCAAGCCTCTCCTCAGCATGCCTGGCAAGGTGATGTTGAATAATCCTTGCCAGGACCTTTCCCATCACACTGAGGAGTGAGATGCCCCTGTAGTTGTTACAGTCTGTGCGGTCCCCCTTCTTAAAGAGGGGGACCACCAGGGCATCCTTCCAATCCTGCGGAACCCGTACAGTGGTCCAGACTGTTGGTATAATGTCATGTAGGGCGGTCTGTGCACAAACACCACCCCGCCTCAGCATTTCGCTTGGGAGATCGGCTCTACCCGGCGCCTTTCCTAGTCTCAGGCTCTGGATTGCGATCAGTACTTCCTCAACAGATGGCACCTCAGCCAGCCACTCACAGGGGGTGACTTCTTCCCATATTGGAAACACCACAGCCTCAGCAGGCTCATCCCCACTTTGTCCCATGATGTTTTCCTGGCTGAGGGATTTTCCCTCCCCCAGGACCTCACATAAATGCTCAGCAAATCTGCAAACCTGTTCCTGGGGGTCGGAGATTGGATCACCGTTCTTTCCCCTATTTATGGTAATAAGTGTGGTGCTGCAGGTTACTTTTAATGGAATTAAAGAGCGATTTGTGATCACGGGCCATTGAGGCTGACTCCATCTCATCAGCAATTCGCGACCACCAACCATTCTTGCAGTGCCTCATGGCTCTCTGAACTTCCGAGCGAAGGTTGCGGTAAACCTCATTCTCTGACGTGGGATGCTGTAGACGTTAAGGAGGTCTGGACCATGTACCCAAAACAGCCATTGCAGCTGCATGAGCCACAGTCCTAAACCTTGCCCATTTCCCCTCGACATCAGGAGGAGTGGGGGACGATGCCATCCCCAGCCGCAAGCAATGATTAAATTCTTGCTTGCAACTTTCATCAGCTAGCTGAGACCCTGGGTTTGAATGGGTTTGAATGTAATTCTGGGTGTACACCTACCACCGGAGTGGACGAATGGCAGGCGCATTTTACAGATGACAAGTCGATGGTCAGAGGGCAGATCAGCTCCACGGTCGGTCCTGATGTCAAGGACATGGGCTCGCATCCGCTGGTCCATCACTATGTAGTCTAGCAGATGTTCTTGCTTGGACCCGGCATGCATCCATGATGTTGTGTGGATGCGCCGATGCTGGAACAGCATACAGTGAGGGAAAAAAGTATTTGATCCCCTGCTGATTTTGTACGTTTGCCCACTGACAAAGAAATGATCAGTCTATAATTTTAATGGTAGGTTCATTTGAACAGTAAGAGACAGAATAACAACAATAAAATCCAGACAAACGCATGTCAAAAATGTTATACATTGATTTGCATTTTAATGAGGGAAATAAGTATTTGACCCCCTCTCAATCAGAAAGATTTCTGGCTCCCAGGTGTCTTTTATACAGGTAACGAGCTGAGATTAGGAGCACACTCTTAAAGGGAGTGCTTCTAATCTCAGCTTGTTACCTGTATAAAAGACACCTGTCTACAGAAGCAATCAATCAGATTCCAAACTCTCCACCATGGTCAAGACCAAAGAGCTTTCCCAGGATGTCAGGGACAAGATTGTAGACCTACACAAGGCTGGAATGAGCAGCTTGATGAGAATGTGACAATAGTTGGTGCGATTATTCGCAAATGGAAGAAACACAAAAGAACTGTCAATCTCCCTCGGCCTGGGGCTCCATGCAAGATCTCACCTCGTGTAGTTGCAATGATCATGAGAACGGTGAGGAATCAGCCCAGAACTACACGGGAGGATATTGTCAATGATCTCTTGGCAGCTGGGACCATAGTCACCAAGAAAACAATTGGTAACACTACGCCGTGAAGGACTGAAATCCTGCAGTGCCCGCAAGGTCCCCCTGCTCAAGAAAGCACATATACATGCCCGTCTGAAGTTTGCCAATGAACATTTGAATTATTCAGAGGACAACTGGGTGAAAGTGTTGTGGTCAGATGAGACCAAAACGGAGTTCTTTGGCATCAACTCAACTCGCCGTGTTTGGAGGAGGAGGAATGCTACCTATGACCCCAAGAACACCATCCCCACCGTCAAACATGGAGGTGGAAACATTATGCTTTGGGGGTGTTTTTCTGCTACGGGGACAGGACAATTTCACCACATCAAAGGGACGATGGACGGGGCCATGTACCGTCAAATCTTGGGTGTGAACCTCCTTCCCTCAGCCAGGGCATTGAAAATGGGTCGTGGATGGGTATTCCAGCATGACAATGACCCAAGACACACGGCCAAGGCAACAAAGGAGTGGCTCAAGTAGAAGCACATTAAGGTCCTGGAGTGGCCTAGCCAGTCTCCAGACCTTAATCCCATAGAAAATCTGTGGAGGGAGCTGAAGGTTCGAGTTGCCAAACGTCAGCCTCGAAACCTTAATGACTTGGAGAAGATCTGCAAAGAGGAGTGGGACAAAATCCCTCCTGAGATGCGTGCAAACCTGGTGGCCAACTACAAGAAACGTCTGACCTCTGTGATTGCCAACAAGGGTTTTGCCACCAAGTACTAAGTCATGTTTTGCAGAGGGGTCAAATACTTATTTGCCTCATTAAAATGCAAATCAATTTATAACATTTTTGTTGTTATTCTGTCTCTCACTGTTCAAATAAACCTACCATTAAAATTATAGACTGATCATTTCTTTGTCAGTGGGCAAACATACAAAATCAGCAGGGGATCAAATACTTTTTTCCCTCACTGTATTGGTACTTACAAGCCCATGGGCTGTACAAAAATCTAGCAGCCTCCTACCGTTGTTATTGAGCTGATCTGGCCCATGCCTTCCAATCACTCCAGACCAGGTGCCAGCATCATGACCAACTTGGGCATTGAAGTCACCCAACAAGATGACTCTATCCCGAGGGGCCACTTTAGCCAGCACCCATGACAGGCGGTCAAAGAAGGTATCTGACTCATTAGCCTTGCCTGCATC